ATATAATTATTAATTTACAAAAATATTGAATAATCAAAATAAAGTTTTCTCTAATTTTTTATATTTTCTATAAAGTGTTTGAAAAATTTATTGTAATGATATAATATTTATAGAATTATCATGGTGGTCCGATTGACCAGTTTTAATTGATCGATGTCCTGTATGTTGCAGATAATGGAATGCTAAAATATACGTGTGTCATTTTAAATATCATTTAAATACAACAAATAGTTAAAAATTATTTTTTGTTTAATAAAAAATTATTTTGTTTAATGTAATAATCAATGAAAGTGTATTTGTCAATATAAATTTATAGTCTGTTTCATAACAGACAAGTAATTTTTTTGAATTATCTTACTTAGATGTAGGGTTAATAAAATTACTTGCACAATTGATTGCACACTCAAATATAAGATATTAATTTACTAACTTATTGTTATTTATTATAACGTAAATGCGCTTGTCCATAAAGGTCTCATTATAAAATAAATTTAATTATAGAAAATAATTCTAATATTGAAAAATTATTAAATGAAAATTAAATAAATATTATATATCAGTAAAATAAAGGGCAATTTATACGAGGATGTCAAAAATTCTATTATCATATTTGATATTTTATTGTTTATTTTTGTAAATCAAATATAAAATTCAGGACATGTTTTATTAAAAGGTCGCGTCCGGGTATTGAACCCGCGATCTCCTGATTACATGTTAGGGATCTTAATATAATTGGTAATATTGCAGAGGGTTAGGCTCTGCGGTGGCCCTCGGCTGCGGGTCGGGTTAGTTGGTCGCTGGTTATTGCGCACTCAACACTAATTTATAGTCAATAAATTTTAAGTCATTTTATGATAAACATTTATATTATTATTTAAATTATTCATAAAACTGTGATCACTATCTAGTAATCAAACTGTCTCGTATGGGACTCAACAATAAAAGTTGTGTGGCGTTGGCAACAGCAGCCAAACCCTAAGCAATGGAGTGCAAGCATTCCATTGTGCGCGCGGCACCACATACTGCTATACAGCAATATGTATGACTAACTGTGATAAGAATATGTGATACAATTTTGTGTTCAAAGTTTAGTCATATGGCTTACATTATAATAATGTAAACTAAATCTAGTCATTAGTGTTATAAACAATAAGTATTATAAAATATAATTAAAACTTTATCTACAATATTATGCCATTGTGCTACAGGTTTATATTATTATGTTAAAATATATACTAAGATATTTTATCAATGTTAAACTAAAAATGTTATCAACTAATGAAGGTCATATTCTGAGGTTTATTAAAACGCACACAACTAATTAATGTTTACTATCAATCAATAAATCTCTGTATTTAAGTTGGCCTTATAACTTTATTAATTACAAAATTTTGTGCTACATTTCATAATATTTGTTAATAATTTACCATAAACATATATATCAAGACAGAGCATATCGAGTTACCCATTTGTTTACCTATTAATTGTAGGCTTAATTCTGTGAGTGATTTGAAAAAGTTGTTGACAGACGAGATTGGTTTTCGTGATGACCTGGATAATATTTATATAGAAATGGTAGCATTCCAAGGTAGAAAATCGTTCAAGTGCTTATGGTCTATCCAAAGCTTCATTGTAAAAATTAACTAGTTAGTTATTATTAAGCAAA